GGACACCCGAACGGGGCTCCCAGTGAAATTATCAAATCAAGAGAAAACGCAAGGCCAGGGCACGAGCAAAACCAGCCCCACGAAAAGGAAAGCACTGGGAAAACGAACCAGAGGAAAACTCACGAGAAAGTTACAAACCCCCAGAGGAATGAGTCTCCAAACGGAGATTGAAAAGAAAACTAATACAGAGAAAGAAGACGACCTGTCGTTCACATCGGAGGAGAATACTTCACCTTCACCTAAGCGACAAAACCAAAAAATTACACCGCCTGTAATCGCAACAAGGAAATCAACAAGGGCCCGACAAGCGACTTTAGCAACAGCTTTAGGAAACCCTATCCCAATCAACGCTATACAGAACACAAGCACAGCAGGGACGAAACATTTCGAAATCGACTCACCGCCCGAGAAAACATCAGATACACCAAGTCAGAAATTTTTAATTCAGGAAATGGGATTTTCTGAAAAAACCCCGGAATACAAAGCCTGCATACAATTTATCCAGGCAATTAGTCCCAAACAAAAAACAAACGTTATAGATGAGGTAATTGACCTTACTTCTTCAGCGGAGGCCGATGACGAAAAGATGGACAATAATGATATATTTTGCGAAAATCCGAAAAAAATGGAAGATCAAGAACAAAACGAACAAGTAAACAACGAAGAAGAACACGGGGCAATAGATTACATCACTGAAAACGGCATGGGAGATCAAAGAGGGGAGATATGAATAACACCGGCTAAACAGTCCTACAGGGACTTAAAAACTCAAATAAAACTTTACCATTTTTCTCGAGGAGGGGGATTGTCATCCGGCATGGATAGATAAAACTCCATACAAAACTTAATATGTATTTATATACCGTTTATGTTTTGATATTATATAACATTAATGTGTACTGGTCGATTGACCTTGATGCAAGGACAAGAACGGTGTCTGAAGAGAACTACGGTTCAGAGAATAATTAACGCTTACGAAAACAAGTTGTTTTAACTTATCTCTCTCAGCTTGATATTATCTATCCATACGGATTCAATAACCAACTGTTCATACTTCGAGGAGTTGACGGTATGACAGCATCAATTCAATCCAAATGACCTGCGGCCTTTCTGAATTTTTTCCACATCTATATATATATATATTTTTTTAGATTTTCAGAATTGAGAATTATGGAATGGCATCAATTCAATCTAAATGACCTGCGGCCTTTCTGAATTTTTTCCACATATATATATATATATATTTTTTTTTTAGATCTTCAGATGCCTACTAATCTCGACATTTTTCCATATTTTAAGGATGTGCTACAATTCCAAACCTTTTACAAAATTAATTGTGTTACATGCAGGCACTGAGTTTACACTGATTACAACTGTGCACGCAGAAAATATGTTATGGTTTTCACATGTGCACTGCTAGGAATTAATTTGTATAGGCAGAGTTGAAAATCTCAAAATACTTATAGAAAACGTTGCAGGGCAATTTCTCTTGAGTTATTAAATACACTTGTTATTTCAGGAAATGATCTTTTTATTTCTTATTGTTACGACCACTCACAGATATCGGCTGGGGTTTTCCTACCCATTCAGATACCCATTTTAAAAATTATATCAAAAAAACGAGCACCATACTCGCAGTTATTGATAAACAAGAAGTAGGACAATTTCACTATATGAAATCACAATTTAAACACAGAGGCGAAGTTTAGCTTCGCACAACTTGCGATACACCTAGATCTATCAAAATGAATGAGGATAATTGTGAAAAAAACATGTCCAAACAATAGAATGCAGAATCAGCATCGGAATAAAATTAACCAGGCGGCGACAAAGCCGAAAATACTTGAGCAGAAACTCTTCCAGCCTCAATTTTGTTAAATTCAAAGATAAGATAGAAAAATTTATATTCCCTTCCCCTCATAACACACGACGCAAAAAGAGGCTACTAAGCCGATATAGAAAAGGTCGAACTTATCAAGCTGAAAAAAAAGAAAAAAAAATAACAAACCGAGATGTAAAAATATAACCAATTTAAAAAACGCGAACAGCGTAAAAAGTGTTTCCCTTGAAACGACGCAAAATTCGTTCGATAAGTTGATAAATAACAGGCTGAAATAATTTGAGCCGAGTAAAGCTACAAACTCTAGGAATAAACCAAACAGTAAAAGCAACATTAAAGGAAAATGCGCTCAGCAAAAAAAGGCGATTCCGAGATGTGGCAATTAAGTCGACAAAAGATAAGCAGACAAATAATTGGCCGACAATTTCGTTCCCAACGGAAAAATTCCAGTTTGAAAAAAAAACAGGTCCAGGTCAGATTAGAACCCAGGACATTTGCACCCCAGGGGTATTCGTTACCTCCAGGCTTAATGGCCCGCGAAAGCTACGAAACTTGAATTGGTCATAAGCCAAAGCACCACAAGAGATGCGTCCAGAAGAGATGAGTGCTGTGAACAGGGTTAATTGTGGGGAAAAAATTAAAACTCCATTGTAACCCTCTTGCTTATCGCAGGGATAAACAGGTGCGAACCAAACACAGCCAGATAAACAGTCAAAAATCTGGACAGGAAAAAATCGCACCATTAGCGATTGAACTCAAGAACTGTCACTCCAATGGCAAAAAAAACACTGTGAGACGACAACTCGTCGAAAGCGACAATTGTTCGAGAACGACTGTTCTCTTTTGTTGAAAAGGCGACAATTCGTAAGAGGCGATAATTCGTACCGGGCGATAAAAAGTAGTTCTTAATTAATATGGCGGATCGATTACCAGTTTTTAAGTATCTTGATACACTTGATCGTAATTATGGAGGAGTTAAAAAGTGTGACTAGATTATGCACAAAATTTAACGTAGTTTTTGAGTTAATGTGAAAATAGAAGTGATTTAAATTGAGATAACATAAATAATAACAAACAGTAGCACCGAAAACAATTGTTTGAATCATTTTCGTTGTTTCATTTTTCCAGATCACATCTTTGCTTCTAAACTTTTCAGGTACAAATGTATAGGCAATTCAACATTAGACAGAGCTGGAATCAGTAAAATAAATGCGCATTTCGGCAATTGATAGAAATTAACCTAAGTTTGATTAATAGCGATTTCGAAAGTGCCTTTCTAAAAATGTTTGCGAATAAGCTAATCAAAAGAGGCAAAATGGCGCAAAATTCAGGAACTTGGACCGGCTCCCACGCAGAAAGCATATCAAACAATGTGCCTGCTTTTAAAATCTTGTGTTTCTTGCACTCATGCCGGAATGAGACTCTGAAATAGGTCTTAATGTTCTAAGCGCTTAAAAAAGAGTCGGTCGACTCCCCATTGACGGTTTATGGAGCTTATTTTGAGTCAACTTGGGTTGGTACGATCAACCGTGGTCGTAGATGAGCTGGTATGTTTCCTCAATAGCTGTGGAGCCAATTCGATAACCCAAAGAAGTGCCGACAGAAAAGTAAAAATGCACTAGAAGGCTAGCATAGACTCATCCAAATAGGAATGGGTTGCGTTCACCCAACTATCTAAACAAAAAATTGGGTTGCGTTCATCCAATTCTCTTTCATTCAGCTCATAAGAAAAGAGCAGAGCTTCACTGAAAAAAATACTCGAATCCAAGTTGCCAAACATAAAACCATCCAATCTCGATTGACAGATTTTTTTGAACAACTACCAAAACAATACTATTTTAAGGCTACATGAAGGATTATCTTACAATTTGGATTTCTAGATCGCGTGTTATGTCTTCATTTGTTGTTTCCTTAATCGAATTTAAATGGTTTCTGATCAAATCGTCCATTTTTAAATACTACATTTGTCAATTTCGACGAATCGTCGCCTTACTTAAATATAGTACCACTTTCAACAAAGTAGCAGGGAAGGTTCACTAAGCTAACTTTCAGGCTTTTTCATTATATTTGAACTTTATTGATCTATCTGAAAGAATCATTTTGATATGTGTTCAAAAGTTGAGTGGGTAGTTTTGATCAACTTCAAATTAAATGATTCAACCCATAAACGATCTATTTTAGGGTGGAAACAGTTTCTCTAAACAAAGGGTGTTGAAAAATTAGACGATAAGCAAATTAGACGGAGGCACTTAAAAGGAAATTAGACGATGTTGCAAAACTGCAATTGTGAAAAAATAGACGAAAGTGAGAGAGATTAAAATTGTTTGCAGACAAATTGCGTGAGAAAAATAAATTTGTTTGCAGACAACAGCTAAAGTTCGGTTGCCAAAATTTTACATGTCAATCATGCATAATTTATTCAATTCAAAACTCCTGTAATATTCGGATTTGACATTTCATGTTCATTTAAACGATTTGTTTTGATAGGTATTGTCATTTTATGTTCTTTTTTGTATTTATGAAACTTGACTCTTAAGAAAAAATTTTGTTGGCTTTTTCCTTTTCATAGCAGTGACGTCTAAAATTGCAGACAAAAAATTTCGTCTAATTTCGTTTTTGTAGCATCTGTCAAAATTGCTTATTGTCTTATTTCCTAGCCCCCTAAACAAAATATACTTAAGTAGTGAAATTATTACTCTAGGCAGTGATTGTAAAAATCACTTTTTGTTTTAACCAAAACCGTTTGTTTTAACCAAAACCGAAACTTTCAAATTTCTAGTTGTTCATTATATTTGGATAATTAAATCAGCACTGTATTGCGTTATCAAGCAGTTAAACGTCACTCAGAAACTAAGACTTTAAGGTGCGACTTGGCGGTGTATCGACTAGCGTAGAAAAAGGTGGCAATTTGTGTCGACTAGTATAAAATTCAATCAAATATCAAAAATCAAATACAAGCAAGATAGAGCACCGATTTAACCTCCAAAAATAAAGCGAACATCAGTCTTCTAGCTTTTCATCTTTAAGCTGTATCGCTATTTGCTTAAGCTGTGTCTGTCCTTTCTGCGGGTGGTTTTCTGTAGGGCAAACCTCTTAACCCAATAGACATTATAAAAAGGGCAACCTCTTATTGTATCAATGAGTATATTTTGTTGTTCAGTGTGAGCCGAAAGACTAAGCTAGCAGTCAATAGCGGAGTTCAAGAGAGACAGCAAGAACACGCAGAGGGTGGTGTGGTGTATGTAAGGAGAGAATACTCATCCAACAGTTTCGTTAAGAAGGAACATAAAGTGTCGGAGGCGGCTGCGAACACAAATGGCGGCAAGAGAAATTTGGTCATCAACATAATGCCCACAGAACAATATGTGAGTCAACATGAAGTTTCTTTTGAAACAATTGTGACAGATGAGTGCCAGTGAAAACCTAATGCGAAAGAACGGGATTTCATCATACTGGTTCTTAACTAACTACAGCAATGAAGCAAATTAATAAAAACCATCGGTTGCTTCCAAGGATTTTTATCAAACCTAATTACCTGCCTCATTTCTGAACATTTATTCGATACATTAATTGACATCGCCGAAGCAATAGATCAAAAAATGTTAAGGCACTAGCATGTTAAGACACTAAAATGTTAAGACACTATAAAAAAGGCACGAAATTTAGAACAGGAACCTTCCATTTTCTTGGAAACCATATATCCCAATTGTAGCTTTTTTCAATATCTAGATATCTTTGCTTGCACTTCTTTGTTTGCAGGAGAATTTCGAAGAAGAAGCTCCCTTCGCAGAAGACGAAGATGCCAAAAAACAATCACTCGAAAGTGACAACGCATATCGACAGAACAGATCAAAAGAACATTCTAGAAGTTACCATATGGACCATAACAGAGACAAAAGGGTAACAAGAGAAGCGAATGTCACACAAAATCGATTAAGCCCTGCTGGCGAATCACAGGTTAATTGTGATTCATCATGATTAAGGTCAAAATTTGGGTTTGATCTTTATCGTCTACCGAATCTAGAAAGAAATGAGATTGGGTGATATTACAATAGGTGGCAGATACACGTTAAATAGCTGGATCGCTCTTTGTATCACCTGAGATTGAACTAAATGTCCAAGTGTTCATCAAATTTGCATTAGTTATACTTTTGTGCTCCAGATTAGCCGTTTTTAGCCCTCTCATAGATAGCCTTTTTTGGTGCCTTTTTGGCGATGAAACAATTGTACGTCGTGGTAACAGACGCGGTTTCGTGCATATGAACTGAGTTACAGCTAAAGTAACACTAACACTGACATAAAATCATCCAATCAGGTTTTTATCATTAATTACAATGAACGAATTTCCTCGCATTGCAACAAAGCTTTTAGATCACCCTTTAAAAAAATACATCTATTGAACCAAGATTAGCAAAACAGATATAATCATCCAAAATCTATGAGTTTCTAGGTGACAGATACAAACGGATTTGAAAGATCCGACATCTATGATGCTTCTCGATATTTCCAAACCTACCAAAACCCCGACTACTCAGAAGAGTCCCCTTATGTTTCTCACTTCAATGCGTTGAAGTGGCGATGGGATGATCCTGACGTAGACTACTCTCTATACTTAGACACCGACGACAACCATCTTGAGACTCTCGTGCAGCGACATCCGTAAGTAACCGAATAGCCAAATAACTAAAACATTACCAGTTTAATTTAATAAAGCAATTTAAAATTGCTCAGAAAAAATTTTTGTTGTGATGAACTTATTAAATTAGAACAAAAAATACAAGACGGTCGGTTACTCTTTTGACTGAACTTAATTCTTTGCATAGAAAAAACATGGTTTCAGAATACTGATTGAGGCATTGATAATTTGCATATTTCTACTATAATGAAGGAAATAAATGAAAACTTAAAGGCAGAAGATGATACAACTTTGAAAATGGAACAGATGCAGCTTCTATCGGAAAAAATAAATGAGCAAAAACGTTAATTAAGGAAAAATTGCGGTTTGTAGCAATTTCACACCTTAAAATCCGAGTATCTTGCGTTGTGGTTGCTATCAACTTTCTCGAGAAGTATTTGGGTTTGCATGTGGAGGAAAAGGATCTCTAAATTTCTAGTCTGGATCAAAACCTACATTTTAGAGCACTTTGAGAAACCTATCTAAGTGATAATGATCCTAAAAACATGTGTCAATTAGAGGGCTACGATGATCCTATTGTAAAACCGATCTAAAAAAGGTTTGGGTATTGCTTTTTTAATTGGGATTATTTGGGAATTCTTTCTCTAGGGATATGACAAATTTCAAAAAAAGCGAAATGGCATGCAAACTTTTTTCATTTTACAAAACAAATAAAATTTTGCCAACTTACCACTTAAAAAGTTGGCATGTTGGAGGACCTTTACTTTGAGCGTTCAGTCACGGCTTTGCATCATGATCAACTGGCTATAGAAATTTCTAGTCTGGATCAAAAGTAACTTCTTGGAGCCCTTTGAGAAACTTATCTAAGTGACAATGGTCCTAAAAACATGTATCAATTAGAGGCCTACAATGATCCTGTTGTAGAACCGATCTAAAAGAGATTTGGCTATTGCATTTTTTTGGGAAGGTTACAGTTATTCAGTTAAACTTTTGAAAATAATTTGAAGCACATTTTGATTTCTGATTGGAAACAAAAAAAACGGCTGCATTGTTTATAAGACTTCGTGTAATTTCAAAAAACCATTGAAAAAATTTAATGATCCCGTGGTTGCATTGAGAAACCGAAATGGTGAATTGCAGTATGTAGAGACAAACATTGATTAGCATTGAGATTAACATTGATAGTGTGAATCCATGCAAAAAAAAGAAACGTTTTGGAATAAAAAAAAATTGCATGAATTGTGATCTTGCCATTTAAAAAAAACCAACTCAGAAATGCAAAATTGGAGGCGCTAGAACATTCCCCGGCCAACCAGTATGCATGGTTAGCGGAAATATTTGTTCCAACACTATACGTAGATAATCACAATCTTATCTCTAGGGATATGAAAAATTAAAAAAGCGAAATGGCATGCAAACTTTTTTCTTTTTACAAAACAAATATTTGGCCAACTTACCAGTTAAAAGCCCAGTAACTTACATTGAGGATGCTATCAAGTTTACCAAGACGTGTATGGGTGTGCCGAGGACGAGAGGGACCTTCAAGCCTTTTCATGCCCTCGGTCAATCTATATCAAAAATGATCCACCCATTGTTATTGTTACATTAGTGTCTTCCGGATAGGATAGACTTTGGATTCGGAAATTTATGCTGCAAGGTAATTAAATTATCTAAACAAACGCCAATTCTTTACGCGAGAGTTCAACAAAAGTAAAATCCACTCTTATGGATTATGCAATAAGGCTTGGATGAAAAACTACGTCAAAAATTCGTATAAGTCGAAAAAATAACGTTCAACATCATAATAATGTTGACCACAAGGCTATTGACGAAATGTGCGAAACTGGACTGGAATGTTATTTTGAAGTCAAGTACTGCAACCCCCCCCCCCCCCAAACATAGGCAGGATGCTGCAAATGGTTATAATCGTGAGATATTTAATATTCTCAATCAAACTGAAGGCTGATCAGGAAATAATCAAACCCTGCAAAAAGCCGGAAAAGTCCTATAAGTGCGCTCTTGACGAATCAAAATGCAAAGCTAGAACAGACAAACAAATTTCATGATGATCTGAAAATGTCTTGGTCAAGTGAAAACAAAAACGCCTTTCAGTGAAAGCTATTCAGACGGAGAATCAAACAATTTTTTGTTTTCACAAATTACTGAACTTGTTTTTGAAGCGGAAAAATGGCAGAACAAGAAAAAAAGAAGGACCTTTACTTCGAGCGTTCAATCACCGCCTTGCATCATGATCAACTGACTATAGAAATTTCTAGTCTGGATTAAAAGTAACTTCTTTTTGAGGAGCCATTTGAAAAACGTGGCTAATTGACAGTGATCCTACAAACATGTATCAATAAGAGGGCTACAATGATCCTATTCTAAAACCGATCTAAAAGAGTTTGGGTATTGGTTTTTTATTTGGAAAGTTTACAAATTACTCAATTACACTTTTGAAAACAATTTGAAGCATATTTTAATTTCTGATTGGAAACAAAAAGAAAAGAAACTAATGCATAGCTATAAGCCTCCGTCGTGTAATTTCGAAATTTTTTTGTAAAATTTCGAAGAACTCTAGGTTTAATTGAGAAACCTAAATGGTGAATGTGCAATATGGGGAAACTTTAACATAGATATTCTGAATCCACGAAATATTAGAACGTAATTGATTATAACAATTTACATGAGTTATGATATTGTCATACAGAACCAAAAACCTAATCGTGTTTCATCAACCAGTATGATCATATTTTTCTTATTGAAATGCATTATGCATTGTTAGCGGAAATATTTGTAGAAACAGCCAAGGTAAAAGATCACAATTCTTCCTTCAGGGATTTGGCAAAACTTACAAAAGTAATCTGGCATTCAAACTTCTTTTCCTTTAAAAAATAAACTGAAAACTTTTCAACACAAAATTTTTGACTCACAAAACTATGGATAGACTAGCAATTAATTATCGAAAATGGTAATGCATAATTTAAAAAAAGACATTATTTCGAATAGGAAATCTCGTAACCAAAAGAATAAAAAAGGAACAGCGTAATTTTCACGATGAAAAGTTGCCTAAGTGTGACAATTGTTCTGAAATGTTCAAAGTGCATAACAGCTTGGCCGGTAAGACGAGAAAATGCACAAATTGATGATACCACTAGTAACAATTTCTGTTCAATTATTAAGGAGAAACTGGCTGAAATCATACCAGTCAGCAAAAACGCTGCTGAAAATGTTGAAAGCAAAAAAAGCCAGGCCACTTGTCTTGGCAATAGGACTGACTCGCTTGGACCTCAAAAAACTCAAAATCTTGGCGAAAATAACCTATTGGTCATGATGGTGCTGGTTGTGAAATGGTTTACAATTTTGCTCCAATCATTATCGAGTTTTGTCGACCTGCTGTAATTTCATTATTGACTCAGTGATTCTTGTGAAATTGCCAAATACCACCACACAATGGCGATGAAAAACACCCTAACAATTATCGACCAATTAGTTTGCTCACAGTTTTTTGTGAAGTCTTTGAAAGCTGCTTTGGAATCAATTTCCTAAAATTGATGTAAAAAAATCAAATTGCTTGCCAATGAGCAGTTTGGATTCCGTTAAGAAATATATCTTGCACACGGACACCGATTAAAGCAACTTCAATAATGGAAAAAAAATTGACACCGAAAAATCTAGACTTGCCTGCTACCTTGACCTTAAAACGCATTTAACTCTATTGGCCATAGTATTTTATTGCAAAATAAGAGCGTTATGGTTTCAGATAAGGTTTAGTGGTCCAGCAACTTAGAATCGTATAGTTTTGAGGAGAACAATACGTATCAGTTAATGGAAAAAAATGAATGTAAATCATAACATTTTGTGCCACAAGGTTCAATACTTCGAGCACTTCATATCTTTGTTTTTATTAATGATCTATCAAAAACTATTTCAAAGAGCAAGAAATGTCTTTTTGCAGACGACACAATTATTATGGCGTGCGAAAAACTTAAGAGATCATTGAAAAATGTCTTGCTTAAAAAGATATAAAAGCAGATGATGATTGGTGCGCAAAAATTTTTTCCCAGTACTAAAACAAACATCCTGAAAAAAAGCTTGGTTTACCAGTTAACAAAAATATACAACTTTGTTAATTCCAGTGCCATCTTTGGTGATTTTATAGAATTCAGCGATGTAAAGCAAATCAGTTTTTCTTTAGAAAAAATATATGCAAAATTTTCATTAAAGAAAATATTGAACTAATGCGCCTCTTTTTCCAGATATTGAGCCTGATTTTTCTTCACTAAAATGATCGATGAAAGTTAAAATACTCAACCTACCAACAAAAGAGATTTCCTTTATATGGGCGCTTTTAAAAGAGCAGTATCTCTCTTTTAGCTTCCAAGTGGCTATATAGCTTATTGTCATAAATTATGTTTGACAATTTGTACTTATAGTCACTGAATAAATTAACTTCTTTTATAAAAAATAAAGCTTTTTTTTATTGGAATCATCTGGTAAGGAAACAAAAAAACTAAGAATCAATAAAAAAGATAAAACCTAGCTCAATAAATTGTATGTTTCAGCATTTTGGACGACAGCGAGGATGAAGAGCAAGACCGACTGCTAAACATGGCTGCATCCACTGAATATCTTCTGCAGCCAAATAGGAATCCAGACACAGATTTTATCTCAAGTGCGTAAATATTAAATTCCATAACATTTATTACCCAAAAAGTCAAGACTAACATGAAATGTCAAATTGAGGCGGCGGAAAAAAGTTACTCCAAATTGATAACGAAATCAGAGCTCTCCGATTACTTGCAAAAGTTCAACTCGATAAAATACTTCTATGATGCATTAAGTGAAACTTACCATCTGACTAGATTAACTTTTATTCAGGTGGTTTACTCGGTGATCGCATGATGTTGTCACGTGACACTTATAAGGACCAATCAGAGGAGAGGATTCTGTTCAACGTGAAACAGAGTGAGTATGACTCAAATGAGAGACCTCAGACTCCAGTGGCCACTCACAGGGGATTAAGCAGACACAGACAGAGTGGAGCTCAACTGATGGGACGAGAGAGACCGCACAGGTTCAAAAGCCACACGAGCACAGGCCACTACAATGATTACAGCGAAGACATCGACTCCAAATACTACAACAGTAGTCACCCCAACAACCACCAGCAAATTCAGAATGTGCAGTACAGTTACGGCATTGCATCAAAACTTAGCCCTACTCCAAATACTAGAGTAGCAGTTCCGATTGGCTCAGATTTCAGAATGAACCATGCTTGGTACAACCCGTATTCACTAGAGCCCATGGCCATCGTAGATGTATAAAAAGATAAGGGTAGTTTATTTAATTTCAAAATAATCATAAAAATTACTTAAAAACTATGATAGAAAACCGATGTAAATATGTCTTCTAAGATAATTTCGTCAAAAATTTGTTATTTCTTGTAACTTAGTCTACTTGTTGATGAAAACATTCATTCATATCACTTAGTTGGTAAGATAGGAAGAAACAGGTCACACTGGCTTTTTTGGGCCATTTTTGCGCTTTCCCTCAAATTTAGTGTATATTGGTCCAAATTGTATGTTCAGTCAACCAGAAATGGATGTCGCAAAATATAACCAAAAAATGCCAAAACAGGATGCTAGGATGGTACAGGACCAACGTGCAGAAGTGTCAGTTTTGAACTGTCGATAGGTAATTCGTCTACTTTCGGCGCGGAAATTTAAACCATTCCACAAAGTCTGCACCTCTGCACTTTAAACCAAAAACTAGAGCCTTGTCTCGATCACTTCCGGAGATTAGCGAAATTCATCAATTAAAGTACAGAAAGCAGAAAGGTTATGTCAACAGATTCAGATGAAGAAACTTTGCTTGATTTTTTCGAGCCTGCTGTTCACTCAGTGAAAAAGTTTTTGCTTTTACGGCATTTCAGTGTTACAATTTTCTCAACATTAAACATTCAGCCGTAAATTTTGCTTTGGGGAAGCAGAAGTGCACTAAAACCATTTTTTCTTTTTTTTCAACATGAGTCAGTTTTTGGACGTGGCGTGATGAGAAAAACTAGAAAGCTTAGAACGTCAGTAACTTGGGCATAATCGACTTAATATGAACAAGAAGAGCAAACCCAAGCTATAAATGAGTTTAAACATTTTTTCCAAACAAGAGAACATCAAAAAAAATTGAACTGCAAGCTCTTAGCTACACGATATAGGATTTAAATTCACGGCGCGGACTTCATACAGAGTGTTTGAGAAAAGTTTCTCATTGTCGAGAAAAATTGCAGATACTGTATTGAAATACGGACTTAAATTAGGCTAGTATTAGCAAACAACGACGCTAGTTTTATAAAATATACATATAATAATTTCCAAATTTCCGAAATGGTACCTTGTTCAAAACATTCATCACTACCTGCAGAAAAATCATCATATCTTTTTTAAAAAACAATTTAAATCTGATTAAAGAGCCATTTAAACATGAAAAAAAATCTGAAATTGCCCTGGCTTGCCGGATCGCTTTTATCAACGTTTTTATTCAGATGATTTTCAAATATTAACAATGATAGCCGGTTACTGTGCCGGTTAAGAAAGAAGGCTTACTTTATAGTCATAGTTCAAATTGGCCAACTGCTTTCTAAAAAAATCAATAGAAAAACGAACAAAAAATTAGTTTTTCAATTTTTTAGCAGAAACTTTTTGAAATTTAGAAGTTTTTGATTCCCAAAATGGCGCTAAAAATTCAAAAACTAACTTGACTCAAGTAAAATTAAGTTTTCACGACTCAAATTAAGCATAAGTAGGTTACTGTAAGCTTGCACGCTGACTTTATTAGCTCGAAATTAGACCAAAAATTAAAAAATTTAATCCGGTTTTTCTCGACACCGAAAAAAAACTTTTCAAAAAGTTTTGATGTTCGAATTACGACTGAAAGGGCTTCAATATGATGAATAACTCGACTCATTGGCTATTTGTGGTACCTGATTTTGCTAACACGAAAACAAAACGAATAAAACGTAATTGGAACACATATAACATAACGTATTTGGAAGAACAAATGAAACGCTTTTGGAAAATAAAAATAAGATCCAAAACAAAACCCGAATAAAAAATGAAAACTAAAAAATCTTCTTTCAAAAAACTCTTCAATGATTCAACATTAATTGTAAAAAAAACGCCAACCCAATAAAATGCCTTTTAAGTGCTAGAAAAGCAGACATTGTCAATGAAAAGTTGGACAATTTCAATGAGCTAACAAAACTGATTGACTTCTGTGAAAATTTGAAATGCCGAAAAAAAATCTGTACCGAAAAAACTCTTTAAATTTCAAGAATTTTTATGAAAAACACCTTTTCACACAGAGGCTAAGCGGATCTTCGCAACACTTGCGATAGTAAAAAAAACATTGCATTAGAACACAATGAACAAAACAAGAGACAGAATTAGGATTTTTGCAAGAACAGAATTTAGATTTTTAGACAGAGGCGAAGTTGCACTTCGCATACACGAGCAAAAATATGATCGATAACGCTGCTACGAAAAACTGAATGAGTAAAAGTTTGAGTCTACAAAATTTCTTAAGGGACGTAGGCCAATTATGAATCTACATAATTGCTAAGTGACGCAAGCATATTATGACGCATTAGCAGCAACAGTCAATTTGAAAAAAAAGAAAGAAATTACCAACTAACATGCCTCAGTCTATAGTTTAACTAGTATTTAACTAGTTTGGTGGTACAGCACATACTGCATGAGCAGTAACCAAGTAACCTTTGCAGCGCACTAACTTTGGACCGCATATTGGTATCTATAATTACATATTGTTATTATGTAATGGCCAAGGTCATGCAGTGTTGATCGCTGCGTAGAATTTGTATTTTTAGTTGTTAAGCTTTGCGTACCGAGTTACGTTTGTTAAGCTGGTTCATGGAACCGTAGACAATGTTAAAAAACACAGAAGTTACAATTGAATTAAAGTATTGAAACTAATCCTTTTCAATTACGAGTAAAGATTTTCATTACTTTACCACATGGCGCAGCCAGCAGGATTTATGGCACAGGAAAATAGAACAGACATGGGTATCCCAGTGTTCTGGACGTCCGCTAGCTCGGATCCACCGTGGAATTTCAAAATCTGGTTGGATCAATTTATGTTAGCAGTGACAGTCAAAGAAAGTGTAAATCCTGAGATTTTGCTAGAAGAACCAAAAGAAGTAATTGATGAGCCAATGCCTCGACCGGAAACTCCAGGAGATCATGAAACTGCTCAGGCAGCAGCTGATCGGGAGGCGAGAGATAGATTAAGAAGAGACAGAGTAATCCTCGAAAATGAAGAAAGAAGAGAACGAGGTCCGAAGGTAGGACATAATGTGTTCTATAACGAAGTTCAAAAAAGGACTTACGTCTCGTCTCTTTTTGGCATTTGGCACAGAAGGAAAAAAAATTCGTACAGAAAAATCCACATATCGAAATCTCAAAGATTGACTTCAGAGAGATGGTGAGATTAGCTAAGGAATTAATTGAAAAAACGAAAAACATTACGTACGAGAGATATAGATTATTCACCAGGACACAAGAATCCGGAGAGACGTTGGAGCCTTTTCATGCGGCGTTAACTGCACAAGCAGCTACAGCTGAATTGGGTGGCTTCGAGGAAGAATTGGTGAGAGATCTATTTATATCACGAATGAAGAATACTGCATTGCAAGATACATTGACTTTTGAAATCTTCACACCGGATTGAAACGGGCCATTAAATTTGAACAAGCAAACAAACGACCCAAGCGTTTCAAAAATCGGTGGTAGGAAGTTCAATGGGAGGAAAAATTTTCGAACCTCAGACTAAAATAAAACAGGAACCAATTATGGCGGTTGGGAACAAAAATCAGAACTACAAACGATCAAATCGAGACCAATTCAGGAAGAAGTGGAACGATAACAACGATAAAAACAGAACTGAAAAAAAACCATGTACTAGATGTGGTAAAGTAATGAAAATCTTTACTCGTAATTGAAAAGGATTAGTTTCAATACTTTAATTCAATTGAAACTTCTGTGTTTTTTAAGATCGTCTACGGTTCTATGAACCGGCTTAACAAACGTAACTCGGTACGCAAAGCTTAACAACTAAAATACAAATTCTACGCAGCGATCAACACTGCATGACCTTGGCCATTACATAATAACAATAAATAATTATAGATACCAATATGCGGACCAAGGTTAGTGCGCACCAAAGGTTACTTGGTTGCTGCACAAGCAGTAACAGTCAATTTGAAAAAAAAGAAAGAAATTACCAACTAACATGCCTCAGTTTATAGTTTAACTAGTATTTAACTAGTATACAAAAAAGTTCACTGAAAACATCCGACCCTGCCCAGGTTCGAACCCTTTTTTATTTTGTTGCGGGTTCCCTTCCCTACCTCTACGCTACAGATCCATGATACCTTGAAGCTATATAGAAGGGGGGTACAACCGAAAAACATTAAACCATAACAAACCAACAGTAAAAGACATTAAACCAACACGAAGCGTGACCCAAAGGAGCCTAAGGGTTGCACCGCACAGCCTTTGATCTTTCCTTAGATCTGTTGAAACTGCAAACATCTAGATCTAGACAATATCTAGCAAAATAAAAACATAATCGAAATCAGACTTGGTAAACTTACTTTCAGTTATAGTAAAAACTGTTCAAATCAAAACAAAACTCATTCTTTAGATAGTAAGCCTATAAAAACCGTACCACATAACATAAAAAGCATTTTGAGAAAATGAAAAAGAATCGACGGAAACTAGGACAAACAGAACGAATCCGAAAAAAAATCAACATTAAAAAAAATTAAATGAAAAACAGAAATTACCTCAAACAAACTCCTTCTATTTTCTATCTAAATGTTAGTAATTTTGTTTTTATTTTCAAGAGCATGTCATGTTATTGCTCATTCTGTCAACAACAACAAGGTTATTTACGGGAAAAAAAGTGATCGCAAAGAAAATAAAACAACCCAATAAGTAAAAAAAACTGGCTCAGGAGGCAATTTTTTTATTTTGCTGGTCAATTTTTCAATCATTCGAAACAATTTGCAAAAATATATCGTACGAAACCTTGAAATCTATCTTATAAGACTTTGAGAAGCATTTAAAAATAGTTTTGCTTTCGATGTTCAAAATGAGCTTATTTGTACACAAAACTTCTCATTAACGATGATTATGGTCATTGAAAGTAATGAATTTTTACTATAAATTACTCTACTTCATAAAAGGATCGATGAAAAACGTTCCTGTGAGATATCTAGCTACCAAGTTAACACGCCTGCTTTCACGTCAACTTAGATGAAATTCAACAAATATTCACTATAAGACCTAAACATTTTTTAAAAAGTGAGAATATTGGGCTCAAATTTTATTGAAAAAGTTTTGCCGTTTATATAAAAAGCTAGGGTAAATTTGAAAAACATAGACTTTTTCTTGGATCAAATACCTTCTCACAAACAGTTTAAGCACTTCCACTCAAAAAATGCCTGACCAAAATTATTTTTGAGGATGAATGTAGTTCTTTACATTATAAAAAAGTTTCAAATGTGCAAATAGTTTTATCACCTCGATTTTTTTAAAAAAAATGAGGAGTGATAATTTTTACTGAGTCGTTAAGTCAATTGGAAACAAACTCTAAGATAACTGCACGTTTTACTCGATAGTTCTTTTTATACAGAGTCAAATCGGAGCTTCGCATCACTTGCGAGACAAGAATGTATGACTATAATTACCAGCAAATGAAAAGACAAAAACTGAAAAAAAAATCTTCAAACATATCTTTTTTTGTCAAAAAAAGTTATCAGTTGCTAAAAACAACAAACGAACCTTTCTGCGGGACCTAAGCCGACAAAAATTAGCAGACGCGAAGGCTAATATAGTCGAAAAATTGCAGTTTCGACAAAAACGGTCCCGACTGAAATCGAACTTCTGGGCTTTGTCGTCTCAAGCATAAATTTTACCACTGCAGTACATGCACAGAAAATTCCTTGGATTGAAAACATGGCCAACTGACAGTTGAAAAGCGTAATGAACGCAAGGGAACTGAAAAAAAACCGACTTGTTTTTTCGAAAACCTTAAACATTTCAATTTCGAAGAAAAAAATAGATAGCCCTGCTCCTTGAATTTGTAGAACAATTTTTGATGGGCACTTTTTGTTAAAATTGACCCAATTTGAGAAAACTGGTTCAATAGTTAAAACTTGAATTTCGCTGGGAAATCTGATAGTTCATTTCCATTTTCGAAATTAGAAGTCGATCACGTTTTTCGTGACCGTTACAATTTTTCTGTTCGATAACGGAGTTTGCCTGACCTTTAACAATGAAAATGCACTGAACTTTAAAAAAAATCACAAGTCAAACCGCGAAAACTCAAAACTGAGCGTGAACAAATTTTAAGACCTTTTCCTGAAAAAAAATCTGCAAGACCAATACAAGAGCACTCACAACGTTCATTACTCTTAAAAAAAAAAAAACTACATAAGAACATCATGGAAAAATCAATAAATCGCAAAAAAATTAGGCATCTTCTTGGAACTCAATTGCTTGTCCAAAACCATAATCCATAAATTTGGTGCTGCGTCAACTACGCCGACAAAAAAGCAGACAAACAAAATCCAACAACGATTTTTCGCGCTCGGTCAGTTTTTCAACAAAGTGATGTGAAGCTGAGGAGTTAATTTGAAAAGTACAAACACTGATAAATTAAATTTCATCGACTCATTTTTAAAACATCTATTAGTACCTATTTAAGTCACACAATTTTCAACCATAAACAGCAAAATGAAAGCATTTTATATTTTCAGGAAAAGAAGGAATGAAATTTAGAATTACAAACACGACACCAGGAGCCTACTAGGAAAAACTTGGCCTCGATTACATCTATAGCTTTGTAACACGACATACAGCTTATAGTATATTTACAGCAATGAGTAGTAAATGTAAAGGCTAACTCACAGAATACCTTTGATTTTAAAACCAAATGAACAATCTTTTTCGCAACTACGAAGCTATTTGTAATTTGGAGTTTCCTTTTACATCAACACATAGATAGATCAAGACTTTCGCACCATTAAATAACCTTTTTACACGTAGAAGGCCATAACGTTAGGTCCACGCCTCTCAATTTAAATCATAACACAGATGTAATAAGTGATTTCACTCATTATCTTATTTCTCAATGCCTATTTGCAACTGTTCGTTAAGGCACACCCTTAGATATTGCTATCATCTTCAGGTAGAGGTCAAGTCAAGTCGAGACCGGAACATTAATTCATTGGCCGATTTTGCAGCCCATCCTCATCCCATGTATTTTAATTGTTAGAGTCTACAATTTTTATTTAGTCTTCACATGTTTGCTCTCTAGTTTCCTCCCAGCCTGTGTCCACTGCCAGCCCATCTGAAAAAAAAATTAGAAGTTTATTGAACTCATATCATAGTTTATGCCTGAAATAACTTGATAGCGCATCAATAATACTTCAATGCCTTCTTCACGCCAAACTTATCAAAGTATACAGTTTCAACTAATCAAATCAGAGCATTTTATTTTTTGTTATCGTAATTTCAGATTTGAGAAACTGGGCGAATCAGTGAAAAAACCTTTCAAATTGGAAAAATTTATACTTTTGAAGCTTTTTCGTAGAACTCCACCCAAATCAAATCAGAATAAACATGAAGTCGACTTCATTTTTATTCTGACTTGATTTGGGCGAATTTTTAAGCACACAACAAACTGGCTAAGCTGCATATCTTATGCAAAAAGTGTAAATACACAACTCAAACTTAAGTAACACAAACTATTCATGCAATTTTTTGCAATATAATCAACTAAAGGTAATCACACTAATTTTGCATGTAATAAATTCGGAAGTATAAAGACAAATCGTTTAAAAATTATGCATTTCAAAAATTTCGCGAAAGATACTGAGTTGTAAAATTTCTGAATTTTGTTTTTGTTCCGACTGGCGAAGAAAAAAAACGGTCCCTAGGGAGATCGATCTCTTGATCTGCACGTGGACAGCCTTTTGTGCACACAACTGAAGCAACCTGGCATGAGTATGGCTTAAACTGCTTATAGAAGAAAATCGTTCCAAATTGAATAAAGGCAGATATCTGGTTTTATTAACTACATACATGTCTCAAATTGACCCTTCATTTTTGATATCATCAGCCTAAAATTTATGGTTTTTCCAATATTTAATTTACCAATTTATCAGAGACCAATTAAAGGGCAGTCGGAATATTCAAGGCTCTGCCCTGAGACTAATAGCCTTGTTGTACTTTGCATGAAACAAATCGGTTTCTTCGGCTTATTTGATGCATTAAAAACATCAATTGGGTTAACTCATTAAAAATCAAATGCCAGAACACATGCTTTTAAATAGCCAATTGAGCCCCCTGATTTAAAAGTTCCACCAAACGTAGAACTAATAATTGCATCTTAGGTTAGAAAAAAAGTAGATGAAAATTAAACAATTTCATCCGCTTAGATGAAAATTAAACAATTTCAAAATTCAATATGAAGCAAGCAACCTTTTTCTCCAACCTCCGAGCAAGATTTTAGGAGGTTGCACACAAAAATCTCGCTCAATTGTTTAGAAAAAGATTTATTAACCATTCCGATAAACCATTCTTTTTCTGAATCATTAGGAAACCCTCTATAGGCAACCAACTGACCCATTTTCCTGTGCTTCTCGTACAGTGCTATGTTCTTACTGCTATGAATATATTATAATCTATTACTGCTACGAAATTATATAATATTTGAATTTTTCCCTTCTTGAAAACAAAGTTACCTTGTTTACTACACAATTGCATTTTTTCCCTTCGGGAAAACAAAATTACCGTTTATCACCTGCGAAACAACACAAACAGAGTATGGCAACTTAGCCAACAAGCAAAATGAAACTGGCTGATTCAAACAATATTTGATGAAAAATGTCAAAAACAACCAAAAATCTCGAACTTATTGGGAAAAGTTCCTTTTGAGAAAACATGCCAAATAAAAGATGCATACGGATTTATTATAAATCTAAATACTAAAATTCAAAATGTACTAGCTCGATTAAATAGAAAAAAGAAAACTTGGGCAAAAAACAGTTGGGAAAAAGTCAATGAACTCAATAAAACAGAAAAAAAAAACAAATGACTTTCTTGGAAACTTGCAAATTCAAAGACAACATGTATCACGCCCTATATAGCTGCGTTCACTTCGTGCACTGACACTTAAAAACTGAAAACAAATCAAACGGAGGTTAAAAATTTACAACCAACGTAAAAAAAACAGTTTTCGCAGCAGAAACAAGCAAAAAAATGACAAAAGTTTCCTAGGCACCAAAAAATTAGATGCAAAAATATAATGATATGCAGCAAAGTAAACCAGATATAGTTATTGCTGAAAAATTGTAACCAAATAAATGAGCGCTTTTATTTGCTACTTAAGTTGGAAAGAAAGTGGATATCGCAATGAGACACTAACGCTAGGCCAGTGTAAATAAGGCCAGTGTAAATATAAGGGCTACTTAAAAATTGTCAGTTGGTCGACGAAAGTATAGACGTGAGAAAGTGATTCAGTGACTCTTTTAGACAAGTTGTTTACCTGGAAAAAAGTACCATGTTATGATATAATAACGCTTGCTAACCGGAAGCGTAAAATTTCAAATTATCTTGTCTTAGTTTTTCTCCATATGAGGGAAGTACCTGTGCGCCTGATCGTCAGCTCCCCTCTGTTGCGTGCCTCCGAAGGGTCTCTGTCCGAAGCCATGCACTCCTCCCCTGGTGGAGGGAAACCACTTGTAGAATATCTGCGGAGTGTGGATTAACTGCCGGCCACCGAAATCCTGCAAAAACCCACTACATGATAACCATCCCGGTTCGCCTTTCATCAACCAAGGACACTCAGAATTATTTAACTTTTTGGTTTTTATTACTGCAGATCGGGAATGCACATACAGCCCATTGGAACGACATGTATGGTACCCTGCATTAATATTGATTAGCGAAGCGGAGAAAGCACTAACTACTGGCTTACTTTCGGTTTTTCGACCAAAGCAGCATCCAAAACTTTCGTTTCAATTGCCTGCATATTCAAAGTTGTAGTCCCTATTTTCAACTTTTAAAGTAAGAGTTTTGTGATTTCGTTGTATAAGAAGGTGCTGACCTGAGGGTATTTGAACATCAAGAAGAAGTAGATATGTCCGATTATGATTCCCATCAGCTGGTCCATACCTCCTCCCCTGATGATCAGATTGAACAAAAACAGCACCCATGGAAGATACATTGCCTAAACACATTTCACTCCATACACAAAACTAAATAATATTAAAAACTATGACAATTACTTGAATAAATTGCCCAATGACTGGAGAAGTGCTATTAATTGCGGTATTTACACGTAAGCCCATTTTATCACTCTTCAAACTTAGCCGATAAAAATTTTTTTCATCATTAATTTCTTTGATTTAACAAAAAATAGACGTCGAAGTCTTTATGTAACATATGTAAACATAGCCAGCTGAAAATTGGAAAAGCGTAATGAATGCAAGGAAACAGAGAAAAAAAACACTTGTTTTTTTGACAAAATCTCAACTTTCGAATTTCGGCGAAAAAAAAATAGTTGGCATATGAATTGAAACCTCTTTGAATTTCTAGAACGATTTATAATTCACAATTTTTCAAAATATTCACACAACTTGCGATAATAAATATTTTAATTATTGATCCAGTTTTCTCAAATTGTGCTAACTTTATGAATAAATTCAATTATCGTTTTAAAATCACTTTCTTGAACATTTTTTTTTCATAAACAGAAAAAAAACACTCGTTTTTTGAAAAAACCTCAACTTTCGAATTTCGAAGAAAATAATAGATGCCCATAAAGATCTTTGAAATTCTCCGACAATTTATGAAGGGCCCTTTTTTGATCAAATTAACCCAATTGAAGAAAACTGTATCAATAAATCAAAGATTTAATTAAGCAGGGAAATTTGAAAACTAAACTCCACTGGAAGTAAATCACGTTATTCGTGACCTTTACACTTTTGCTGTTCGATAGTGGAGTTTGCCTTCCTTTTAAGAATGGAAATGCCGTGAACTTGAAAAGAAATCACAAATCAAACCTCGAAAAATCAAAACTGAGCGTGAACAAATTTTGAGACCTTTTCCTGAACAAAAAATCAGTAAGACCTATATAAGAGTACTAACTACATTGATTATTCGTAAAAATGTTCAATGCTTTTATTAGCTAGCGTATAAAACTAGACCAGAAGAACACATAAGTCAAACAAGACAGAACTGACCTTGAACTGTGTTCCAAACCAGAAGCGGACGATAGTGTCCTTGTTATTGGCACACCACAAGTACAGCACCGCCATCACCATCAGGTCCATCAGAAGAGCCACTTCGGCCACACACGCCATCACCACACTGCACAGCCACATGAACACCAGAGCAAACAGGTACTCCGCCGGACGACCTGGAGCGGAGGACACAATTTGACGCAAATTGTGGCAGATTGGAAAAACAATAACATCCAATTAAAGGCCAAATTTTCTAGTCACTACAGCCAATCAAAAATTAGCATAATCCTCGCATCAGACTTGCAAAGAAAATGGTAGGGTCAGGTAATTGCAGACTCATTATAACTTGATCACTTTATACATAAACATTCTATTTCCGCTAACATAGATAGACATGAGACCTAACTTCCACTAGCATACATCTTAAAGCCAGAGATAGTTTATGCTGCGATGCGATCATAAAGAATACTATACTAGTACTGACTACAACTGACCCTGATATAGCTCAGTTTCCAGTTGTGTTGAGTAGGAGTAGAGGAAGTACAGGTTCATCAGATAGTGGAATCCCGTCTGGGGGGTGATGGGGTAGTAGAACAATGCAGTTATGGGACGCCACAAGTGGAACTTGTAGAACACCAGCTGGAAGTGCATAATCATGTGCACTGGGGTCACCAAGCCTAAAAGTAACGATTGCATCACTACTGGTTCATAGTCACTTTTGAAATTTCAGCTCGATTTAGAACGTGGATTTCAAAATTGAATTTATAACACCATAGCATAGTTGAGCTTCGCATTACGGGTGATAAAAATAAAAATCCTTTTTAATTTTGGAAGATCTGCATAGCAAACCTCAATTTTCTCTTAATTTCTTCAGAAAAAAAACTTAACAGAGGCAAAGTGGAGCTTCGCACCACTGATACGAAAGTTTAGGCCAGAATGTTTACACAACATAACTTTCAAATTATTGTAACCAGAAACAATCATAATTTCAAACAATTTGAGACGAGGCGCCAATCATTACTTTCTTCGGCATATAACAGAAAGCGAGACAACAAAGAAGTTCACAACACTCATGTCGTTTTTAAAAAATTCCAAAAACTAAATACCAAAAAACGTCAGCAAAATTTATAGGAACCCATTTACTAGCATCATAACTGAAAAATATTAAAAATGAAACACTTCGTCACGCGAAAAACTTTTCGTTTAAAAAAGGTTTAGACCATTCGAACGCACTAACTCAGTCGTTTCCCAATCATAAAAGTTATATCCACGATAAACAAGCCAAATTGATACCACGCACTTGATATACCACAAAAAAAGCCGACGAACTGAATAAAGAAGTTGCCAAAGGAGCGAGACAAACTTAGACTAGAAGACCTATCAAATCCTTAAATTTTATTTTCATAAACAAAGTTGCAAAAAAAGTGGCACGACTTCCTGCGAACGTGTGGCCACCACTCGTCGACCAGTAAGTTTTGGAAAGTGGACCACTTCCTAAACGGAACAAAATTAGAAGCAGGATCCATTCACTGTCTCTTTCAATGGAACAAAATGTTCGAAGGCAAAAGAAATAGCAAACGCGTTTAACTTCCAATTAACTAAACGGTGAGTACACAAATCGAACAATGCGCAACAAGAAAATTATGAAATTAAGTTTGGATGAGCTGAGCTACTATAATTCTTACCATGTGAAAATGAGGCAGCAATTAAAGCAGCACAACCATTCACAGAACTGGGCTAAGATGGCTTCAGCGTAGCCCACATCTAGGGCCACTGTTTGAAATCTTATTAACAAATCTTTTGAATCTAACCAAAATTAACCAAAATCAGGCAAAGATTCAAAGTCTCAGACTCCAACCCCGTTCCAAATTTAAGCCCCGCATTAACAATATTCGAAAGTTTGATCCATCCAAACCTATCGAAATTTCTCTCAAAAGCAGCTCACCAGAACGTTTTTTGAACACTATACTCAACAACGACTGCCTTAACTACTTCTGATTTTATATCAGCGTTGGTTTCAACAGCAATCCCCTGAAAGGACTGTACTTACAACTCGAGATCTCTATAAAGCAATGTTGGAACTGCTACATCAAACCAGCATTCCCGAAAGCGTAATAAGATGGCTATCAAACTATTTAAATGGCCGAAAAGCCAAGACACAATCAGAGACGCCTTGTCTACGTCAGGGATTGTGCGTACAGTCCTTTCTCAAGGCTGTCATCTCACCTACTATTTTAAACTGCTACGTGCAAGAAGATGCACACGAATCCCACCAGATATTTAACTTCAGTCTTACGCCGATGATTTTCGCCCTTTCGTCCACTCGCGCCACATAAAACACGCTTCCAATACATTGAGGAGCTATCTCAAACTACATGACCTTTCTACAAGCAGATTACTTAAATTATTCTCGACCAAAGGTTCAGTCAGTCTTTTTGTTTCACACAAAAACAAACAATTTAACCTTGACCACAAAATCACAATGTGTGACTCGCTTTTACCAGTGCAGAAGCACCTTATAATTCTTGGTGTCTATTTCGACACAGCTGTTAATTTCTCTGAATCTTGAAAAAAATCTGCAAGTAAAGCCATTCGCAGCATCTCAATTAGATTTCAAAAGTTACGATACTTTAAATCCATTACAATTTTTTCAAACTCACCAGCACCCCACCCCACGAAAACTAAACCCAAACTTAAAAGACAGGATCGAGAAACTCCAATTAGTTTTTAATGAAGCAAACAAGTCCAACTCTATAACAGATTTTATCCAGCTGTGTTTTCGCGAACTAGAATTTTAAAACGCTTCTAAAGCACATTCAATCACAGAGTTCAAAAAGCGATATAGTCGTTTCCCAATCATAAAAGTTATATCCACGATAAACAAGCCAAATTGATACCACGCACTTGATATACCACAAAAAAAGCCGACGAACTGAATAAAGAAGTTGCCAAAGGAGCGAGACAAACTTAGACTAGAAGACCTATCAAATCCTTAAATTTTATTTTCATAAACAAAGTTGCAAAAAAAGTGGCACGACTTCCTGCGAACGTGTGGCCACCACTCGTCGACCAGTAAGTTTTGGAAAGTGGACCACTTCCTAAACGGAACAAAATTAGAAGCAGGGTCCATTCACTGTCTCTTTCAATGGAACAAAATGTTCGAAGGCAAAAGAAATAGCAAACGCGTTTAACTTCCAATTAACTAAACGGTGAGTACACAAATCGAACAATGCGCAACAAGAAAATTATGAAATTAAGTTTGGATGAGCTGAGCTACTATAATTCTTACCATGTGAAAATGAGGCAGCAATTAAAGCAGCACAACCATTCACAGAACTGGGCTAAGATGGCTTCAGCGTAGCCCACATCTAGGGCCACTGTTTGAAATCTTATTAACAAATCTTTTGAATCTAACCAAAATTAACCAAAATCAGGTAAAGATTCAAAGTCTCAGACTCCAACCCCGTTCCAAATTTAAGCCCCGCATTAACAATATTCGAAAGTTTGATCCATCCAAACCTATCGAAATTTCTCTCAAAAGCAGCTCACCAGAACGTTTTTTGAACACTATACTCAACAACGACTGCCTTAACTACTTCTGATTTTATATCAGCGTTGGTTTCAACAGCAATCCCCTGAAAGGACTGTACTTACAACTCGAGATCTCTATAAAGCAATGTTGGAACTGCTACATCAAACCAGCATTCCCGAAAGCGTAATAAGATGGCTATCAAACTATTTAAATGGCCGAAAAGCCAAGACACAATTCAGAGACGCCTTGTCTACGTCAGGGATTGTGCGTACAGTCCTTTCTCAAGGCTGTCATCTCACCTACTATTTTAAACTGCTACGTGCAAGAAGATGCACACGAATCCCACCAGATATTTAACTTCAGTCTTACGCCGATGATTTTCGCCCTTTCGTCCACTCGCGCCACATAAAACACGCTTCCAATACATTGAGGAGCTATCTCAAACTACATGACCTTTCTACAAGCAGATTACTTAAATTATTCTCGACCAAAGGTTCAGTCAGTCTTTTTGTTTCACACAAAAACAAACAATTTAACCTTGACCACAAAATCACAATGTGTGACTCGCTTTTACCAGTGCAGAAGCACCTTATAATTCTTGGTGTCTATTTCGACACAGCTGTTAATTTCTCTGAATCTTGAAAAAAATCTGCAAGTAAAGCCATTCGCAGCATCTCAATTAGATTTCAAAAGTTACGATACTTTAAATCCATTACAATTTTTTCACACTCACCAGCACCCCACCCCACGAAAACTAAACCCAAACTTAAAAGACAGGATCGAGAAACTCCAATTAGTTTTTAATGAAGCAAACAAGTCCAACTCTATAACAGATTTTATCCAGCTGTGTTTTCGCGAACTAGAATTTTAAAACGCTTCTAAAGCACATTCAATCACAGAGTTCAAAAAGCGATTCATGAAGCCCCCCACCAAAAGTGCTCCCTCTAAGACTACCAGAAAAGTCTTCAACAGAACTGACACTCCCCCAGTGAATTAGATGTAACCTCGCTCAAATGAGATTGATCCGACTACAGTTCCTTCCTTAACGCTTTCTTCATATAGGAGAGACCCGAACTACGCCCTAACTGCCCATAGCCCCACACTGCACTATATCTTTATAACTGTCACCGAAACCCAACCTACCTGACTCCAAGAGACTTGAGGCTACGGCCGATAGAGACAGCAACGTTCCTTAGACTCGGCAAGAGCATACCGGACGCGCCCCAAATATCAGGCGAAAAACAACAAGTAATATCAAAACATTTCCGAAAGCGGTCAAAGTTTCAGTACTTTGAATTGCTTTGAAGACCATAATTTTTTCAACCAGAAATTGAGCGGGGTGAATTAAAAAGATAGGCTTTCAACAACCTGTTTCGATTAAAACTATGATATCAGACTTGGCAGAATAGTTAGTGAAAAATCTAAAAAGCGGTCGAAAAATCAAAATTCGACAATCACAGCTTTTGTTTTAAAAAAGTTGAGCAAAACCCTTTGTTCAGAAGAAAATCACCCAACCTGAAATATCGATTGGACCTTGAAACTCAGATTTGGGAGAAGAGTGGGGAAAAATTTTGTTCTTAACCACTTTAGTCTAAATCGTACACAAGACAATTGAATTTAAATGTAGCAACTGAACAAAATTTACGAAGCGGAAACAAAGCCAACTATGTTTGAGCAGACACTAGTTGAGTCGGAAAATAAAACATTTTATAAAAAAGGTCGCAACTAAGCCGACAACATTTTTCAATTGGAAACAATGAAAAAAGGGGCCGGTTGAGATTCGAACCCTTACCGCTCCGTGATTGGTAGTGGATTTATTTGAGCTTTCAAGAAGTTGATCGCGAACGCCTGCACCTTTAACTAACTGCACACAGATTTTAAAGATGTGCAAGTGAAATAAACCTAACTGAACTTGAGACAACTCGTTCAAATAAATATATATTCCACTGGGAAATCTGAAATTTACATTCCACTTTCGAAACCAAAAATCGATCACATTTTTTGTGATCTTTATATTTTTCTGTTCAACAGTGGAGTCGCCTTCCTTTCAACAAAAGAAAATAACTGAACTTAAAAAAAAATCACAAATCAAACCGCGAAAAATAAATTTTAAACTTGAACACATTTTAAGACTTTTCGTGAAAAAAACACGAAAAAAATGACGACCTATATAAGAATTTAAACTAAGTTCATCGACTCGTAAAAAATCATTACTTCGTTCTTTCACATTTGAACAAAAAAATTAATACAAATACTTCAAAAATTCTCTGGTGACCTTTCATGTTTTTTTTAATTAATGACGTACAGCTGCAATATAAATCATACGAACAAAACGAAAAGAAACTTTGCAATTTGAATAATAGGCCTGATTATCAAATTGCATTGACCTTAAGACAAAAGCTGGAAATAAATGCTAACAACTTTGCCAGATTTAAAATCTTGCAAATTGAGCGGCAAATGCGATCTTAAAGTTTGCCCAAAGCTTAATCCTTTTCGGTACATTCTATTTAGCCAAAAATTACGCAGAAACTGCTGTGCCAGTTTGAGCAAATTGAACAAGGAAAGCCTTAATTAAAGAAAACAAAACTACCAAAAAAGACGGCTGAAAAACTGCACAAGTCAATTTTTTTTTTGTCTTACACCCATTCAAACAATTTTATTAAAAATTAGAAAGAATCGCGCTTTTTTGGACATACCTGATACTCTTGTAGAAAAAAATGGTCGGATTAAGTGCGAGGCTCATGGTAATTTAGTTTGTTTAAACACTGACTCCGCAGTTTTTGCAGAAATTTATGTTAGGCAAAATTAACCGAAGCGATCCATTTTGACGGTGCAACTTTGGGTACAAACTTCGAACCGTTTTTGGTCAGGCAAATTTTCAACCAGTTTTGTTCTTAACCTCTTTAGTCTAAATCGTACCCAATTGCACAAAATCTGTCTGCGAAGTTTCAATTTGTTTGCACCTTATAATTCTTGGTGTCTATTTCGACACAGCTGTTAATTTCTCTGAATCTTGAAGAAAATCTGCAAGTAAAGCCATTCGCAGCATCTCAATTAGATTACAAAAGTTACGATACTTTAAATCCATTACAATTTTTTCACACTCACCAGCACCTCACCCCACGAAAACTAAACCCAAACTTAAAAGACAGGATCGAGAAACTCCAATTAGTTTTTAATGAAGCAAACAAGTCCAACTCTATGACAGATTTTATCCAGCTGTGTTTTCGCGAACTAGAATTTTAAAACGCTTCTAAAGCACATTCAATCACTGAGTTCAAAAAGCGATTCATGAAGCCCCCCACCAAAAGTGCTCCCTCTAAGACTACCAGAAAAATCTTCAACAGAACTGACACTCCCCCAGTGAATTAGATGTAACCTCGCTCAAATGAGATTGATCCGACTACAGTTCCTTCCTTAACGCTTTCTTCAAATAGGAGAGACCCGAACTACCCCCTAACTGCCCATATGCCCATAGCCCCACACTGCACTACATCTTTATAACTGTCACCGAAACCCAACCTACCTGACTCCAATAGACTTGAGGCTACGGCCGATAGAGACAGCAACGTTCCTTAGACTCGGCAAGAGCATACTGGACGCGCCCCAAATATCAGGCGAAAAACAACAAGTAATATCAAAACATTTCCGAAAGCGGTCAAAGTTTCAGTACTTTGAATTGCTTTGAAGACCATAATTTTTTCAAAAAGAAATTGAGCGGGGTGAATTAAAAAGATAGGCTTTCAACAACCTGTTTCGATTAAAACTATGATATCAGACTTGGCAAAATAGTTAGTGAAAACTCCAAAAAGCGGTCGAAAAATAAAATTCGACAATCACAGCTTTTGTTTTAAAAAAATTGAGCAAAACCCTTTGTTCAGAAGAAAATCACCCAACCTGAAATATCGATTGGACCTTGAAACTCAGATTTGATAGAAGAGTTGGGAAAAATTAAAAACAAATAAAAAACAACCAGAAAATCAAATTTTCAGAGTGCCATAACTTTTGTGTAGAAAAATTGGATTTAATCAAGTATGCAAAGAAGCTTACCACAGCCTGTTCATTGAATTGAACCCAAAATGTCAGACATTAGAGCTTAGTTTTTGGCACAATTCAAAAAGTTTAGAGGCACGGTCAAACAAATCAAAAGTTTGGGATTTCCGAGGGCGATAACTTTTTGAGTAAAGAAAATTATGAGTGATCGGTAATGCAGGGGAGCTTCACACTACCCGTTATTTGCATTGAACCTAAAATCTCAGATTCGGGCAATAATTTTCGCGAGAAAAAGATTCAAAAATCATTCAAAAAATCGAAATTTCGACTATTCCGAGGGCCATAAGTATTGTTGTCAAAAAAAAATTGAGCGTAGTCGTTTCAGCAGGGGACCTTTTTTTCGAATCCTTTCTTTTCATTGAAATCAAAAACAAAGATTCGATAGGGTAGATTTTGAAAAAAAAAAAACGAAACACAATTAGAGATATGGGTCAAATATTCCCCCACAGACGTTATCGAAGGCTGTAGAGAGGGCCAAAGTGAAAAGAGACTAGGTGAGCATGCGGACACGCAGAGAAGAGTAGGCGGTCTTTCGCTTGATACGTGTTTCTGAGAATTCGTATTGACTTCTGCAACAACTAAAACTTCTGCAACAAAAACAAAAGAAAAAACCCAATCCCATGCATTTTCATAAGTCCTGCTTTTATGAAACAGGAATTCATATCAACCTTGCCAAGCAAGACAATTGAATTTAAATGTAGCAACTGAACAAAATTTACGAAGCGGAAACAAAGCCAACTATGTTTGAGCAGACACTAGTTGAGCCGGAAAATAAAACATTTTATAAAAAAGGTCGCAACTAAGCCGACAACATTTTTCAATTGGAAAACAATGAAAAAAAAAGGGCCGGTTGAGATTCGAACCCTTACCGCTCCGTAATTGGTAGTGGATTTATTTGAGCTTTCAAGAAGTTGATCGCGAACGCCTGCACCTTTAACTAACTGCACACAGATTTTAAAGATGTGCAAGTGAAATAAACCTAACTGAACTTGAGACAACTCGTTCAAATAAATATATATTCCACTGGGAAATCTGAAAATTACATTCCACTTTCGAAACCAAAAATCGATCACATTTTTTGTGATCTTTATATTTTTCTGTTCAACAGTGGAGTCGCCTTCCTTTCAACAAAAGAAAATAACTGAACTTAAAAAAAAATCACAAATCAAACCGCGAAAAATAAATTTTAAGCTTGAACACATTTTAAGACTTTTCGTGAAAAAAACACGAAAAAAATGACGACCTATATAAGAATTTAAACTAAGTTCATCGACTCGTAAAAAATCATTACTTCGTTCTTTCACATTTGAACAAAAAAATTAATACAAATACTTCAAAAATTCTCTGGTGACCTTTCATGTTTTTTTTTAATTAATGACGTACAGCTGCAATATAAAGCATACGAACAAAACGAAAAGAAACTTTGCAATTTGAATAATAGGCCTGTTTATCAAATTGCGTTGACCTTAAGACAAAAGCTGGAAATAAATGCTAACAACTTTACCAGATTTTAAATCTTGCAAATTGAGCGGCAAATGCGATCTTAAAGTTTGCCCAAAGCTTAATCCTTTTCGGTACATTGTATTTAGCCAAAAATTACGCAGAAACTGCTGTGCCAGTTTGAGCAAATTGTACAATGAAAGCCTTAATTAAAGAAAACAAAACTACCAAAAAAGACGGCTGAAAAACTGCACAAGTCAATGTTTTGTTTGTCTTACACCCAAAACAAACAATTTTTATTAAAAATTAGAAAGAATCGCGCTTTTTTAGACATACCTGATACTCTTGTAGAAAAAAATGGTCGGATTAAGTGAGAGGCTCATGGTAATTTAGTTTGTTTAAACACTGACTCCGCAGTTTTCGCAAAAAATTATGTTTAGCAAAATTAACCGAGGCGATTCATTTTGAGGGTGCACTTTTGGGTACAAACTTCAAACCGTTTTTGGTCAGGCTAATTTTGAATCAGTTTGGTTCTTAACCCCTTTTGTCTAAATCGTACCCAATTGCAAAAAATGTGTCTGTGAAGTTTCAATTTTTTTCTTAGTTTCTATAATTTGCACCAGCACTGTATATATTTTCTTTAAGCTAGTGTACCTATTCTGCCTAGTAGTGGCAGGGCGACTGAACCTGTAAACCAATAACGGGTTAGTTGCGGGATGCCCCGGTACCAGTCTCCGATGTCACTCGACATTTCAACAGTCTCTTCTTATCTCCCTCCTCTCGAGTGTCCTTCAGCTGTTAAATTTCAGAAATGGCGGAAGAACTAACGAACACTTCTGTAAACAAGAATGAGCGTCTAAAGGAATGCTGAAGATGGTGGTTGCTGATCTCGTTTATCCTGTTGTGGTCTGTCTATTGTCTGTGCAGTGCAAAATACTAATACAACGCAATACCAGCTTATCTGAAAAAGCAGTTAGTAGAATTAGAATGAAAAAAACTCGATTGAAAAGATAAAGTCAACCTTATCAAAATATATAATCGCACCACATGAGATGTTAAGAGAACGAACACTAATTTTTTCGTACCGAAACCACTTGCAACATACAGATAACAATAAATAGTCAACGTAGCTAAATTGGAATACAGAGGAAACGCTAATTTCAACACAAACACAGCAATCAACACAAACATAGCAATACAAACTAGCCGACACTAAATGAGACGAACAACACTTAGTCAAGAAAAGTTTAGACCTAAAAAAGCCACTAAAATTTTCATATAAATATCTTGATTTTGTCTTAAATAAAGATCAATTTAAGCAAAACGAGATGGCTAAAACAATTAAGTTAAACACAGAGGCGAAGTTGCGCTTCGCAAACACTTGCGAGAACACGACCAAAAAGCAGCTCCATCAAGTCAAATAAGAAAAAAATAAGCCTCGAATTAGCAAAAATTCGGCTACGTGTAGAATTCGAATCAGCGACGACCAGCTGAAATCAGCTTTTAAGCCTCACGCACTATCCACTCAGCCACGCAAGCTTAACAACCGACAAACACTAGTCACGAATGAAGCAGCTACATATAACATACATTGAACAAGTAAAAATTTGAAATATAACAAACTCAAGGCATCTGCACTAACTTTGCATCTAACAAATCGCAAAAAACAAAGCCATATTATGTATAAATTATGCATTTCAAAAAAATTCAAGGTATATTGAGTTAGAAAATTTCTGAAATCGAGTTTTCATTATTGTTAAGTTGTTTGAAACAAATCACTTTTTTCGGTTCATTCGATGAGATAACACAGAGGCGAAGTTGCACTTCGCATACACAAGTGAAAATATGACCGATAACGCCACTGATAACGCCACGATAATTTCTGAAGTGACTCAAGCCAATTATGACGCATTAGCAGTATCAGTCAATTTGAAAAAAATTTCTTTATATCAAAAAACATGCCTCAATTTATAGAGCGGACGCGAACTAGTATACGAAAAAGTTCATTAAAAACATCCGACATTGTCCCGGTTCGAGCCCTCAAATTTTGTTGCGGGTCTCCATCACTACCGCTACGCTAAAGATCCATGATACCTTGCAGCTGAAGTGCTATTTGTAATATAAAAGCCTGTGTTAATACCCTTAGCATTGGCTGTACTTAATAGCTATTTATCCATCAAAATGAATACTTTTAAAATTAACACTAATATTTGCTACTTAGATTGGAAAAAAAAGAGTTATTTTCTTGTGTAAAAATGCATCAACTGTTGAATTACTACTATTTGAATGTCAAAGCACATGTTCAAAATTGTAAGGGTGCCCCAAAAGTAGCACCCATTTTGGCGAATTAGGTTTAAAAAGAAGGTTCGTACTAATACACTCGCTTCGCAAGTGTAATTAGCATTGAAATCAGACTTAAAAAGCCGTAAAAACGCCAACAATTCAAGAGCCGGTTCAAAGAGTGGAGGACTGTACAAGGCTGGACCACGCAACCACGCCCCTCATCCAGAGGTGCTCAAACTCCATTCACCCTACATCGGTCTTGTGTCGAGAACCAAAATGAGAAGGAAAGAGAAAGTGTTGCCAGAAAGAGACAGAGTGAGAGAGGCTGGGGAAAACTAGAAACTATACGAAGAGAAAACGAGCGAACAAAGAGGAAACAAGTCATGCGTTTTTATCAACCGAGCAGCCAAAACAGCCTACCAGCTCACGTTCTTCTTACTGGCTGGACTTCTAGTTCTCACCCTACTATTCCGAAGCGTAAGTGACCAGATAACAGGCCCAACTGACTATAGCATTAGCCACCGAAACTTCGCCCGTAACCTATAAAATCTCTGGTGGCCTTTCGGAGGATGGGTACAGTTAAAAAGCTCAATTTTAAAAACGCAAACTACAACAATTACTCCCACCCAAAACAGAACACTAACTTAGAATACTTCAACTCTATGCAAACGATTTCAGACGTTAACAAGACAATATATTCCATCATATGGCAAAAACTGACAAAAAACTTGTAATACAGGAAACTTTGCTTACCAATGAACCGAAGCCACCTAACGAATACCAAATCGTCGCACAAAACAGACCAATGAATCGCTACAGAGGCGAACGTCCATTCATTATCAAGGATGGCATCAAATACCAAATAGTCAACCCACCCCCCCCCCCCCCTAAAATGACCCCCATATAGAGCAACAATTCAAAAAAAATCATAATAACTGACACTTCAAGACTAAAAATTCCAGTTGTAGTCCCGTTTACTCTGCGTCATTTCAAAAGCTGATGAAAACACATCCGCTTATTTCAGCTGACATCAAAGGTCATAACGCTCTGTGGATCAGACTTTGTCGTAATAATCAATGAACACACACCCAATCGCAAATTTAACAACACCAAAAGTTCACCTGACATAAGCCTACCAATATCAATTTTCCCAATGTCCACTGATTGGCACTGTGACAAGCTGGGATGAGATCATTCAGCTATCACCTTAGAATAACCTGCAAAATTCAAACTGTCAAGAAAACCACAAACTTTTTGAAAAAACTTATTGAAAAAATTCCGGGCTGAGAGTGAAAAAGCATTCGGCAAATTGGCTTTGCCTTAATCAACCATCGAAGATGAGTTAACCTTTCGGAAAAAATAGTCGGCGTGGCAACTGTACACATACCTCAAGATAGCTTCAAAGAGGTGAGGCCGAATTTCCCGACATACGCTATCAAACTCTAAAATGAAAGTGACAGTCCAAGAACAGCATCCCGGACTCGAAAAAGTAAATGAACTTATTGAAAAATTAATTTACTAGTTAGAGAAAACAAAAGATCTAACACGTAGACAGTTTTTTGCTAATGTCAAGCATCGAGGGGCAACAAGTTGAGCCTGGTCATCTGTAAGAGGACAATCTAACACCAACGCCAACCAACAATTCACTCCACATCCCAGAGCCAAAAAAAGAATGCGGATATACGTAAGATCAAACAACTTGCAACCAAAGTCAAAATTTCTATGAAATTGGTCAGCGACAGATCAACGAAAGATCAAACAACTTGAATTCAAAGTCAAAAGCAAAGCGCTTGTTCCTGACAGCACCGCCTCAATCCATTGACAATTTTTAAGGAAATAGGCCATCAAATACTGCAGCATTTAATAAGCAACTTACTGAATAAGGCAACAAAGCCTGAAAAGTGGGATGTTAAACCCTAGCTAAACAAAGAAAAGATACTGAACAGGCTGAGCTACGAAACTTCAATTGATTTCTCCGGTAGCAAAAATCGTAGTTTATTACTAACGAAGTTTACTTTCAACATAAACTTTCAAGAAGAACAACACGGCTTCAGAAAAAAAATATCGACAAGAACAGAGATAAACCGTCAGCTTCTCATTTAACATAAGAGATGGTTTCAACCAGGCTATACCATGAAGAAGAACACTGATGGTCGCCATAAACTTGACTGCAGCCTTTTATAATGTTGATCAGTACCGTCTGCTCAACGATATTCCCAGCTCGATCACAACTCAGCACCAAAAGATGGATTCTTGTCTACCTCCGCGGAAAGCACACTTATACAAAATTCAGAGACACCAATAAAAACGCAGCAAAGTGAAAAAAACGACCTACATGATGGTGTGTTCTCCCCGGTCCTATTTCACCTTTACATGTCCAAAACTCCCCAACTCAACAATGATAACCTCGGAGTAACTGCCTATGGAGAGAAGAAAACCCTCAAAACAACAGTTCTCAACTTTAAAAAAATTGTAGAAAACTAATATTCCTTATCTAAACGGTCTAAGCTGTCTTAAGATCAGAAATCTTTCTTTATCAAAAAAAAATCAACAACATCTATCTTTTCAACGTACCTAATGTGTTTTTTCTTGATTCAAATGCAAATCTCGAGACAACAAGCAACCTGCCAACCACAAAGTCTGAGCATTATTGCAAAAAGACCTGCAACAAACTCCAAAAAAGAAACAATATTCTCAAAAAAAACTTACTGACAACCTCAGATTGTTTCAAAAATAACACTAGGTACTTTAAAAGGCATTTTGAAAGAGGTTATTGAACTATGCAGCTCGCACCCTAAAATACATCAACTAACAGCGTCTTCAAATGAAACAACAAAGTGCTAAGAACAACAACAGGGTGCTTATGAATGAGTGCCATCACTCTTCGAAGAATCTCCAAGAAGCTGCCAAAAATCTGCAGTGCAACACCACCTCACATGTTTTTTTTTCGATTCCCCCTCCAACTAAAAACAGCCCGCTTGAACCAGGCATGGAACATCACTCAGTTATCCGAGTGATGCGAAAAACCTGGCCCCAAGAACGAGCATACTTTCACCACAAACAAATCTTCTTGAGCATAAAGCCGATATCGTTGAAACAAGCTGTTCCCATTTTACGTCGATTTTGCCGCTAGAGACCCTGGGAACTCAATAAATAGGTTTGATAGGAGGAACAACCAAATTTAAACAAAATGTCCCTAAATCACCCTCTCTATCTCTAACATAATCGATCTTTCCAATTCAATCAAGAGATCAAAGCAGAGACCGATGTAGCTGCAGCAGCAACAACAACGCCCGCTGAACCTAAAAAGCTTGCGCCACTTGCGATACCTTATGAAAATTCCTTCGCAAGCTGTAGACAGAAAAGGAAAGCCCCTGAGTCTAAAAAATTCGATAAGCCACAACCAAAATAACTTCAAATTGTCCGGAATTATGTTATATTTTCGTAAGTTATATTCGTAAGAAATAAGTTATATTTTTGGGAGTGTTTTCTCGTAGCACCAAAAACAAAACTTTTGTCATAAAAACCTTTGAATTTTCTACAATTTTTAGCGTTTTGTGCAACCCAGGGGAGCATTCATATCATCTTTCCCTTTAAATGAGCCTAAATTATAATAAACCGAAATCGTTTGGGCCTATTAAAAATTAAATTGGGCCTGCGAAAAAAAAACAAAAGAAAATATACGAAGTCAAAGGCTAGTAAAACTACAAATCGCAGGACTAAATCAAAACACTGAAACTACAATTGAAATGCGTACGGCAAAAAAAGCAACTAAGATGAGGCAATTAAGCCGACAAAACCAAATCAGATAAAAGGCTGACCATTTTTTCGGAAACAGAACATTTGTCGCTTGAAACAAAAACAGTTCTTGTACAGATTCTTCGCCGTCCCAGTCGTATTCGTTACCTCCAGAGCAAGTCTGCCATACACGCTACAAATTTGAATTGAGTCTGAACTCAGATATCAAAATATTCTGTTAAACAAGTTGTTATTCCGAAAAACAAAATTTCGATTCGATTACGCGTGCTTATCGCAAGCGTAGAAATCAAAAAAGAAAAATTGTCCGCGTCAAAAATTTAAGGTGAAAAACTTTTTGCTCATCAACCGATTCAATATTAGGCCACTAAGCTGATATATTATCGGCCAATACGTTTGAAGCCGGAATAAAAGAAAACAAAACATGAAGAAAAATAAAAACGAAAATTGAATTAAACTAAAATCGGAGTTGGTAAATTTAAAACCAACTTAACAAACTTCGAAAAGAGGGCATTTAAAAATATGCTTGAAATAAGTCTGTTAACTGAACGAAACTAGAGAGTTGGAGATGGCCACCAATTTCAGTCATCCTGTGAACAAAGTTATAAAAGGGAAAAAAGTACCGGGTAGTGCTATTCAAATTTACCGAAGAATCTGGACTTTAGGTGATGATACACCAAAACTCACTTTAATGCGGGCCAAGTAGCACACGCCATATATGATGCATCAATCAAGCCGTACGGCACCGGGCTAACTTTCTTTAAAGCTAACATCTGAAAGCTAGAAAAATACTCCCTGCGATCATCCGGAAATCCCTCTTACTATGGAAATTCAAAAAAGAAAAAATTAGCGCACAAACATCCGAAGCTATGAGTCTGTTTACTATAATTAACATAAGATGAGTACAATTTAAAATGTGCACACAAAGGACTTCAAACACACAATGGAAAACCCTGGGCAAAAAATAAGGTGAAAATGTTGCTAGAGCTTCCATACATTCGCATTCCATACTTTCGAAGATTGTAACGGAAATCCTATATACACTTCGGGTCATAATGCAAAAATTTTCAAAACTCGAAGTTGTCAAGTATCAACACATACGATCAGCACACAAACGGATTTTAAAAATTAATCACAACTCACATGAAGCTGCAGTATGAGGCAACTAAGTCGATATAAGGCTTTCAAAACTTTTCTAAGCAGAATAACTATTGAAGCAAAAAAGTTTTCTGGGTTGGTTTACAGGCAACATGAACAAAAATTTCGGAAGGAGCAACGAGAATTTTAAATTCAGATGTGCTCAAAAAACATCTTTGGACCTGATATGTCTGCTGGAGAAATGATTCAGTGACTTGGTTACAATAGTTGTTAATTTTCTTTAATAAAAAAAAGCAAAAACATAGAAGTAAGAAATTGAAAAAAAAAATCTAAGACCTTAAAACTGATCATAATTGAAACTCCAATGCCAAAATAATCAAGAAAATCGAAAATCAACTTTGGGGGGGGGAACTGGAGAATAAAACCAAGGACATTAAAAAGTTTATAAGAAAATTCTAATAAAAAAATCTGGCTGAAATAATTTCAAGACTTACAGAGCACATCATTCAATGCATCAAAATATTGACATAGTTATTGAAGAAAAAATTCTGCTCACTTTACTGTGCCAGCACTTCACTTCGAATTTTCATGAGAACAACAAAGTGAGTATTTGGAATAAAAGGAAATATAATCAAAACCCATTCATAGGAAAAATGAAAACCCATTCAGACAAAAAATGATCGACGAAATTTTTCTTCGACAATGTTTAACGCATCGTTCTAAGCTCCCAATGAGTTAGTGGGTGAGAATGAGCTGCACTTCTTAAACACACCATAGCCAACAGACAGTTGAAAAACGTCAATGAACACAAAGATAAAAATTGAGTTGTTTTTTGAAAGAACTTCAACTTTCGAATTTCAAACAAAAATATATGACCTTCAAGCTCTTTCAAGATCAATTTAAAATTTTTTTGATTAAATTAACCTAACTTCAGAAAATTGGATTACTAGGAAAACTAAATTCCGCCGGAAAATCTGAAAAATTAAATTCCACAAAAAAAACGAGTTTTGCGCGCCTTTTCAGCTTTCAACAGTGCATTTTGCCTACTTTCTAGCCAATGAACTTGAATTGAACTCAAAATGTTCACATATACAAAATTCTTTTGTTATAAGAGATTTTCAAGACTTTTCCTGAAACAAAGACTTAATCGACTCTTAACATCGTGCCAAAACTTAAAATGAGTTAAATTTTAAATAGTCTGCGTCCAACTACCAGAAATTGAGCGTGGAGCAAAAAATCGAGAAACTATCCAAAACAAAGAGTCGAAGCGATGAACTGAATTATAATCTATTCCACGTAACTGTGGTATTTAACCTTGATAACAATAGTAAAATAATAAATGATTCAACATAACAACATAGAACACAAAAAACTATAAAACTTAGAATTATCTTCTTTTTTTAAACAAAAAAATGATTGTACAAAAGTGAAGCTTCAAAAGATTTCCAACATTTACGAATATCCATGTTGAACCAATTAAAATTTATCAAAAAAACTCAATTGACATTTATCACACGGAGACGAAGCAGAGCTTTGCATCATTTGCGATAATTTGCGATACAACGCAAGTGTAGCATTACAAGCTAACGAGAAGCAAATGAGACGGATCTAATTATGGATCTCAAAAAAACAATTCGATCTCAGAAAAACACAACCACCAGCAGTAAATAAGATTTTATTACTTACTGTGAGCGGCCACTAAGCAGACAAGCCGAGTTTAGGCTCAATTATTCAATGAAAAACAACAAAATGCCATAAAAATTGTTGCATTAGCAACGTTGAGCGATTCATTTATAAAACTATGAATTTTTACAGTACAAACTACATTTCCCGAAATTCAATTCTTCTCGAAAAGTTTGAATTTTATCAACACAGAAAGAAATCTGGCTTTCGAACCCAACCTCAGAGTGCGAAAGCAACCTCGTTGCCTCTAAACCAAGTGGGAAGGAGTCTGGAAAAAGTTAAGGTTCAATAACAAACTTCAATTTCCTACAGAGTTGTTAGAAAAACTGTT